ACCACACATTTAGGGCATAAGACCTGGATAATTCAAGCTGGATCTAACCATCTAACCATGGGGGGCAACTAGGGGCTACATCAATAGTTGTTTGGGGAATCATTTGGACTACCCTGATCAACCAACTGAAAAAAGTTTCTTATGCCTGTGGTTTCTATTAATCTTTGCTTCTTGTGGGGAACAATTGTCAACCCAAGTGGCTTAACTTCCTTTAAGCATCTCCCCTGGAAATGGCAGCATAAATAATACCACAGCAATGGCAATAACAATGGAAATGTTAACTTGGAAAGGTTCCACCCCTATACAAAGAACTACAGGAAAGTAATTACTAAGAAAAACAGAATTAGCCTCTCACAGGGATGAACCCCTTATTGGTTGTTTGATGCACAGTGGCTAGCCCTAAAACCATACAAACACAAACAACAAAAACAGACTCAGCAGATCATATTTATGTATTTGTGCATACACACACACACACATATGTGCTACACACATATGTGTGTGTGTGTGTGTGTGTGTATGTAACAATGATAATAAAAAAAGAGGCTATCAATTTGAGAGTGGGGGAGACATGGGACGATTGGAAGGAGGACACCTGGGAGGGGCTGGAGGAAGAAAGTGATATAATTCTATTTCAATTAAAAACATATTTTAAAAATAAGTAGGAAAAAAGAAAATTGTTAATGAATTTTGTGTGAAGGATTTTATAAGAGAGAAAAGAGAGGCAAACAGATCAGCAAATGATGAGTTCTAGGAGTAAAGACATATATGTTTAAAAACAGCAATGGTCACTGCTCATGCCTATGCTTCTGGGACTACACCCATTAGTTTGGTAATATGCTGTCTAATGAGGCTGTGCGGGAAATTTTAGAAAAAAAAAAAGATTTCTGACTTCACCAGCACTGTTTATCCACATTTCAGATTCCATTTGCCTTCTGCTGATAATACCAAATATCTGTGATATACTCCTTTATTACGGCAAAGCCTATAACATAGGATACAGTCCCAGGAGCCACAAAGGAAAAACAGCAGGCCACAAAGATGACAGGAAGTAAGCTCCCTACTCAGACATCTTTGGAATTCAATAAAAAGAAAAACTAAGTGTTCAAGGCCTTTCACCTAGCAATTTTTGTAGTCCATCCTATACTGCGAGTACTTTCAGATCCACTTGGGCGTCATGGTTCTTTGTGTACTTGCTTGTTTCTGTTATGTTGGAGATGAGAGTCTGTGTTTTCTATTATGACTTGGCATTAAGGGTTCAAAAATACAAGCCAGGCATGATAGCACATGCCTTTAATCACAGCATCAGGGAGGCTGACGCAAGAGGATCACCATGAATTGGAGGCCAGCCTGAAGTACACAGTAAGATTGTCTTAAATAAAACACAGGGGGCTCTAAAGATGGCTCAGTTGTTAAAGTTGTTGCAATGCAACTGTGAGGAACTGAGTTTGGATCCTTAGCATCCATGTAAAAAGACAAGTCCAGAGGCATGTTGAGCAGATGCAGGAAAATCCCTAGGATTTGCTGACCGGATCTCACCGTATTTGTGAACTCCAAGTTCAGTGAGAGACTCTGATTCCAAAAATAAAGTGGATCGCAATTAAGGAAGATACCTAACATCAGTGTCCAGCCTCTGCAGGCATGGGTACATGCATACACAAACCCACACCCACACATGTGAGCATGCGCACAGATAAGTACACACATCCCACATACCTCCAACTCCAAGGCTACACAGAAGCCTAGTAAAAATATTTCATATTTAACAAAAAAAATCGAATAATAAAATCTGTTACTTCGTAAACATAAGAAATCCCAACATTTTGTTTTAAAGTGTAATTTTACATTATTCTTCTATTTCATAGGATATAACATTTTGACAAGTCTTTTGGGGGTTGACAGTCAAAGATCACCAACGTATAATAGTGGTCAATTTTATTTTATTACTTTTAAATTAAATTTATTTATTCATTTTACATCCTGATCACACCCCCTCCCTCCTTTCCACCCAGTCCCACCCTCCCACCTTCTTCCTCCTTTCCCCTCTCCCTTTCTCCTCAAAAAGGGGACTCCCCTCTGCCCCCCACAACCCCACCCTGACACATCAAGTCACATCAAGACTAAGCGCATCCTCTTCCACTGAGGGCAGACAAGGCAGCCCCATTAGCGGAAAGTGATCCAAAAGCAGGCAACAGAGTCCATGTCAAAGAAAACTCTGTTCTGCTTGCTAGAGGATCCACCTGAAGATCAAGCTGCCCATCAACTACATGTGTATCGGGGGCCTAAGTCATGTCCATGCTTGCTCTTTGGTTGCTCTGTGAGCCCCTATTGGTCTAGGTTAGTTGACTATGTTGGTCTTCTTGTGGAGGTCTTGTCCCCTCAGCATCCTTCTAGCCTTCTCCCAATTCTTCAACAAGACTCCCCAAGTGCCACCTAATGTTTCGCCATGGGTCTCAGCATCTGTTTCCATCTACTGGTAGGTAGAGCCTCTCACCACAATTATTTTAAGATGCATTTTAAAGAAATATAACATTCATTTTCAAAACAGGCATTCTTTTAACTGCTTTTGGAGAAAAACAATTTTCATAGATTTATCTTATATACTAGAATTCTTCTCAGGATTATATTTATATTCTATTAGCTCTTTTTTATAAAAGAGTTTATCTGATCATTATTGTTAATAACAAACTATGAGTTTTTAAGTTTACAGGAAAACAGAAAACAAAATTTGAGAGAGATTCTCACTATGTAGCCCTGCCTAGTGTGGACTACTCTGTATATAGCAGGCTGGCCTTGAAGTCACAGAAGTCCGCCTGTCTCTGCCTCTTGAATTCTTGGATCAAAGGCAGACACCACCGCCCTCAGTAGAAAAGAAAAATGTGTATATGTGTGGCACACTGCTCACTGAAATGTTCCACAGCAATAGAAATGCTATAGACCTTCCAGGGAGGTAGCTGCAGCTATATGTATGTGACCATTGAGTATTTGAAATATGGACAGTGGGGCTAAGTGTGTGTCTATGTGTAAAGAAATCAAGAGTGTCAGAGAAAGCATCCCTAGACTCTGGTTAGCATATGAAAGAAAAGGGCAGAAAGGAAGTAAAAAGTTATGCTTTTCTGACTCAGAAATTTTGGCAACCCAACATAGCCTCATCATTGTGACTCCTAGAGACTGCCAAAAAGCTCTTCCCCCCACCTTTAGCCAATGTGTGGCTTTAACATCTTTGTCAAAAACTGGGTAGCTGTAGCCATGTGGGTTTGTTTCTGGGTCCTGTATTTGATTTGTTTGATCTGTATGTCTGTTTTTATGACAATGTAACACCATCTTTACCACTCTGGCTCTGTAATATAATCTGAGATCAGGTACTATGACAGCTTTAGGATTGTTCTCTCTGCTAAGGTTGCCCTGTCTTTTGTGCTTCCATATGTATTATAAGACTGTTTTAATGTTTTTTTGTTTTTGTTTTGTTTTAGTTTTGTGAAAAATGTCATTGGAGTTTTGGTTGGGATTAGGTTGAATCAATTCAATAATGTAACTATTGTAGTAATTCTTGCACATGAGCATAAAAAGCCTTTCCATCTTCTAGTTAAACCTTCAAACTTATAGTGGAAAACAAAGGGTAAAAAAACTTCAAGATGCCATCATAGGCAAGAATTGCTAAAAAGGACTCCAATAGCACAAGAAATGACTCCAAAATTGAACAACCATTCACAAAAGGGTTACATGGAATTAGAAAGCTGAGCTGGAGTGTGACTCAGTTGGTAGTGCCTGATGAGCATGCATGAGGCTCTGGGTTTGGTCCCCAGCACTGCATTAACCAGGCATGGTGGTATATACCTGCCATTTCAGAACTCAAAAGCTGGTGACAGGGGAATCAGGAGTTCAAGTTCATCTTTGGCTATTGAGGTGGAGTCCAGCCTCAGTTACATGAAAGTCTGTCTCAAAACAAAGCAAAAAAGAAAAGAAAAACTATACAAGAGAAACAGTCACCACAGTAATGTGCTAGCCTATAAAATGAAAGGAAAATCCATGTAGGTATACATCAGACAGGGGTTAATAGCTATAAAGCACAAAGAACTTTAAAGATTTATCAGGATAAAAACAAATCTCTCAGCCAACAGAGGGCCTAATGAATTGAATAGACAGCTTTCAAATTAAAAAATAAAAAAACAACAACATAATTGTCCAATAAATATTTGAAACAGTATTATTCTACATCCTTAAGCCATCATGAAAATGCACGCTAAAACTATCCTGAGATCCCATTTCACCCCAATCACAATGGCTAATATCACAAAAAAACATAGCAATAAATGCTGGCTAGAGTATGGGGAAAAGGAAACATACATTGCTGGTGGGAATATTTGTAAAGCCACTATGAAAACAAAAATGTGAGGATTTATCAAACAAAACCATAAGAATAGAACTAACATGTGATCCAGCTATACTATTTCTGGGTTTATACCCAAAGATTTCTAAGTTCTTCTACAGAGATACTTAAATATCCATGTTTATTTTTACACTATTCCAAAAAGCTAGGAAATGCATTATAAATGGTCAACAACAGGTGAATGAAGAAAATATGGTACATATACGCAACACATTTTTTTTTCAGCTACAAAAATTGAAATTCTGACACGTATGGGCAAAAAGGATGGAACTAGAAGTCAAATGAGCCAGCCTCAGAAAAATATTGCTTGTACTTTTTTCACACAGGAATATTATAAGTTTTACTTTGTGTGCATGTATGTGTGTGGTGATGTAGGATCACGAATTAAGAAAGACGACTGTGAGATAGAAAGAGGATCGCTTAAGATGGGGGATGGAAAGGGCTATTAGAATATATGTGACACTGAAGAAAAGGATTTTGTGGGGGAAATGGAGATCGGGGATAAGGGGAGGGGTGGAGGGAATAGAGGAGGTGCACCAACAAGAACAAGGAGCATAGGAAAATGCTATAATGAAGCGTATGTCTTATATGCTAATTTTTCTTATTGATTTTAAATAAAGAATGATTCAAGAATGTGTGTCATCCTTGTGCAACGGGAAATGCTAATCTATTCTCTAGTATTTAAATTTTAGTATATGCACTGCCAAAATGAGCATGTGTATGCTTATTTAAAAGTTAAATGGCCTCATTATTATCTGTTGTGTCCAATTATTGAATATTGCAAGTGTAACCCTAGGTACTCAATAGGTATTTTATTTAATTCCCAACATACTATATTTTTCTAGTGTTTTTTTTTCACTACCAAGATAGATTTTTATAGACTTATGATGAGAGCATACAATGGTAGTGATTCTTTTTTTTAACTTTTATTAATTATGCTTTATTCACTTTGTATCCCCCCATAAACCCTTCCCTCCTCCCCTCCTAATCTCACCTTCCCTCCCCCTTGTTCACGAATGCCCTTCCCCAAGTCCACTGATAGGGAAGGTCCTCCTCTCTTTCCTTCTGATCTTAGTCTATCAGATCACATCAGGAGTGGCTGCATTGTCACTTTCTGTGGCCTGGTAAGGCTGCTCCCCCCCTCAGGGGGAGGTGATCAAAGAGCAGGCCAATCAGTTTATGTCAGAGGCAGTCACTCTTCCCATTACTATGTAACCCACTTGGACACTAAACTGCCATGGGCTATATCTGTGCAGGGGTTCTAGGTTATCTCCATGCATGGTACTTCGTTGGAGTATTAGTCTCTGGGAAGACCCTTGTGTTCAAATTTTCTGGTTGTGTTGCTCTCCTTGTGGACCTCCTGTCCTCTGCAGATCTTACTATTTCCCACTTCTTTCATAAGATTCCATGCACTCTGCCCAACAGTTGGCCATAAGTCTCAGCATCTGCTTTGATAGTCTGCAGGCAGAGCCTTTCAGAGGCCTTTTGGGGAAGGTTCCTAACTTGTTTCCTGTTTTCTTCTTCTTCTCATGTCCATCCTCTTTGCTTTTCGGGATGGGGATTGAGCATTTTAGTCAGGGTCCTCCCTCTTGATTAGTTTCTTTAGATGTACAGATTTGATTCTTTGTAAATATTTTTTCATAAAGAATTCTGAGGAATTTTTATTCGTACAGCAATTCATGAACATCACTGAAAACTTGACAAGCTAGACTTCTCTGACTAATGAGAAAAATAACAGCTCTACAACATACAGATTACTGCTGTGAACTTATTTAACTTATTTCCACTAAATATTATCTATGTATTATATTTTTAAAATACACACATATTTAATATAATTAACACTGTTCTATATGTTGTCATGACTTGCTTCACATTAGGGATGTATTCTAAGAGCAAGTCATTAAGTGATTTTTGTGATGTGTAAACACCAGACTGTACTTAAGCAAATTAGATGGCCTTTATATGCATTCAAGGCACCAGGTAAACAAAAGATATATTAATCTGCTGCAGGAGTAACACAGTATACTGTCTGACAGCAGGCTGCTTCTTCTTTAAAGTGGAGAGTGTATACAAGCTATTAACCAAAACTACACAGTAGGTTCATTTTTACAAGCATTCACAAATAAAATGATTATTGTAATGATATTGCAATGGCTGAGGCAACACTAGGCAAAATGAGAACTTTTCAGCTACACTATAACCTTATGGGGCTACTACGATATATGCAGTCCATGTCTGACTAAACTGTTGCTATGTGGCCACATGACTCTACATAAAAAATTTGTATAGACAAACTTTTATATCATTCATATACAACTTTATCTAAGCCACTTGAGTAGTATAATCTTACATTTCACTCTTTGCTTTTTATAAGACTTCAGTTTTATGCAATGATACTACTATTAGTTGAAGAATGATGAATTTAAGCTCAAAAAGTCTGTTACTAGACAGAGAATTCCACTTGACAGGATAAAAGCATTGAAAGCCTTGAATACTATTCCTTCTCCAGAAAAACAATTTTAAATGGTGAAGATGGTTTGGACAGTTGCCAATTAGAGTAAGAAAATGACACCAAAGTCATGCAGAAAATAAAGTAACAACTATTTGATAAAATATGCTAAATCCTGGTGAGAGAGTTGAAGAGTCTGTGGCACTGTAACAGCTACTGAGCCATGACCCACTCCCTCTTTTTTCAGTGCAGCTTGTGAGAAACTCTACTCCAGGTAGCTGTAGCTCCTAGTAAAGGGTTAATTTAAAGTAGGTTATCAGGAGAACAAAATTACCAATACTTTTCATCGACTCTACCTCTGAGTTACTGGTTTTAAAGTCCTGGTTAATGAGTTCTTTGCCAAGTCATTCCTCATTAGCTTGAGGCTCTACTAGAGGAGTTGAGAAAAAATTACCGTCATAGCACCCTGTCCATAGGAAAAAGGTTCCAGAAGGAAAATAGCATGTTCCACTTAGCCCAGACCCTAGGACCCAAAGATTTTCCTGCACGGAACAGAGTCCCCCAAACCAGAGAGCTTTGGAAATATCCACAAAAGAACTGACTGTATTTCAAAAAGAATGTGGGAAAACTCAAGCCTAAATGTACTCCCAAAAGCAATGGAGATTTTTGTGGTAAGAAATTAAAAGAAGGTTGGTTTGTTCATAAAACCACCAAAATGATGCTATATTAACTAGTTTAATACTGAGAAATAGGGAAGTAAACAACTAGGAAAAGTGATTCCAAGGTCAGTAAATGCCAATTTTATGCAGTTGTGGTAGAATCTCCGAAACAACCTCTGAGGCTGATGTAGTAAAGTATTTACCTTGAGGGAATGAAAATCTGAGTTGGAGTTCCCGGAACTCATAAAAAAAAAAAAATTAAAAACAGGTGAGGGACTGGAGTGATACCCCAATTTTGGTTCCTAACACTCACACTGAGAAGCTCACAACCACCTGTTACTCCAGCAGATCCAACCCCCTCTTTCAGCTTCTTCAGGTCTACTGAAAAAAACATACACCAACACACCCATCCACCAAAAAATTAAAAAAAAAAAACAAATCTAAAAACAAATCCAGATGTGGTAGCATGTGCTTGTAAATACCAGAACTGTGCAGATAGAAATACTTATATCCCTGGGGTTCCCTAGAAAGCCAGACTAGCCTACTTGGAGAGCTATGGGCTAGTGAGAAATTCTAACTAAAAACAAGAGAAAACAAAACAAAATGGACTACTCATGTGACAACACATTCTGGAGAAGATATGGAGAAAGGGGAACCCTCCTCCATTGCTGGTGGGGATGTAAACTTGTACAACCAATTTGGAAATCAATCTGGTGCTTTCTCAGACAATTAGGAGTAGTGCTTTCTCAAGATCCAGCTATACCACTCCTAGGCATATATCCAAAATATGCTCAAGTACACAATAAGGACATTTGCTCAACCATGTTTGAAGCAGCTTTATTCGTAATAGCCAGAACTTGGAAACAACCCAGATGTCCATCAACGGAGGAATGGATACAGAAATTGTGGTACATTTACACAATGGAATACTACTCAGCAATTAAAAACAAGGCAATCATGAAATTTGCAGGCAAATGGTGGGAACTGTAAAAGAGCATTCTGAGTGAGGTATCCCAGAAGCAGAAAGACGCACATGGTATATACTCACCCATAAGTGGTTATTAGACATATAATATAGGATAAACATTAAAATCCCATATGCTGTACTCCTCCCTGCTCTCTTTTAAATTCATGGGCTCATTTTTTTATCAATTATTGTTACATGCATACAGTATAATTGTTTTATGTAACTTCTTCCGAATGAGTATAGCAATTTTAATTAATTTTTATATATTTTTTTAAAAAACTTATTATTCAATGCACATCCAACCAAGGACCATCTATGGATATAACCTAGAACTTCGGCTCGGATGTGGCCCGTGGTAGCTCAGTAACCAAGTAGTTTTCCAAAGTAAGAGGAACAAGGACTATTTCTAACAGGATCTCAAGGGCAGGTTCTTTGACTCCCCCCACACCCCCCAGGGGAGGAGCAGACCTGTTAGGCCACAGAGGAGGACTTTGCAGCCAGCCTTGAAGATACCTGATAAAACAGGGTCAAATGAAAGGGGAGGAGGTCCTCCCCTATCAGTAGACTTGGAAAGGGGCAGGGAGGAGACCAGGGAGGGAGTGCGGGGTTGGGGAGGGAATGAGGGAGCGGGATACAGCTGGGACACAGAGTTAACAAAATGTAACTAAAAAAAAATAAAATAAAATAAAATAAATAAAAAAAGAAAAAAAACTTATTATTTATTATTTTAAAGTATGTGTGTATACATATACACATAAGCATGTAGAGGCCAGAGAACAATGTCAAGTATCTTCTTATACCATTATTCACTTTCTTTTACAAATAGTACCTTGCACTTAAAATTTTTTATTTACTGTAAAGAATACACTTTAATGATAGAGGGTCACTATCAATTTTATTTAAAAATTAGGAAGTAAATGGGACAAAATAAATAATTTATGCTCATGATATCTAACACTAATAGGAATAAGTAAAACATATTAAAATGTTACTAATGGTACAATGTAGGTTTTATTTTCCTTTTTAGAGTTTCTCATGTTTTTAATTTCCATAATGAGATATATTCCATGATGAGATATATTACTTTAATAATAATAAGATGGAAAAAGCAGTAAGTTTTCCTTTCAATCTTGAACAGAAAAATGAACAACAGAAACAAAGAGATAAATTAGAAGGGGAAAATAGCCAATAAAATATGCAAATGTAAACTTGTCCTACCATTTGTAATAACACTTACAAATAATAAATCTTTCTCACATCTGAAATTGGCAAATGTATTTCAAGGCAGCAGAAAACACCCATTTCTGTTTCTTTAAAACACAAAGGATGAAGGAAAAGGAGTCGGTATTTCTGTTGGTTTGCTACCACCCACAGGCAATTATATAAAATACAGCTTAGAAAGTATTCTCCTGACCTGAAATTTATATTGGCAGTATGTTCCACACACATCCCCAAACACACAGAGATGCAGAAGAAATGTAAGAAACTTATTATTGCTTAAAACTTGAACTACAGAAGTATAAGTAGCTACAGAAGTAAAATGGAAATAATGAAAGGGGAATTGTGGTGCAAATTAATGCATAAAGAATTCAGATGAATGAAAATGTGTACTCAAAGTACAGGAGTATAGGCTGCT